GAAATTAACCCCCGAGAGAGTGCCACTCCGACTGCGAGTATCATAAAAATCAAAAGCGATAAGCAGCCACTTCGAGCGTCTGTCTACTATTTATGGACAATCTCTTCTGGTTTGGGTTTTTGTTAACCATTAAAATCGGGGAATCAGCCTGCGTTATCAGCTTGAACTTCAGGCTCTATTTTAGAGCAAAGAATATAATTTATAGACCCCAAATTGAAGTGTAAATAAGGAGAGTTCTTGGTTGCCTTATCTGCAACTTCCAATCGGGGTAAATGCGCCAGAGGATCTCCATTGCCAAGAAAGCGGATTGTAATCGAGACTCAAGTTACATTGATCCATTACTGGAGTTCCCGGTTAATTAAGCAATTGATACCCCTCAAAATAATATTTAATTACACTAATTTCCACCGAAAGAAATGCGAATGCCAAATGAAGATCTCTCAGAGGGGGTGGAGTACCATTTTGCATGCTGATTAACTCGTTTGCATTTAATTGGCTCCTCATTCGCTCGTTAATCAAATTTCCAGCTAATTTTATTTGCCCCTGCCACGGGAAATTAGCCAAAAGGCAATAGAGAAGAAGAAGAAGAAGAAGAAAGAAAAGAAACTAATAGGAGAGCAATATATTATGCAAATTCATTGAAAACGAAAGGCATTCTCCGCAAAATGTTGGATTGGGTTGGCATTGCTTTGCTTTGATTTTCTTTTGTTTATTCATTGGACTTTATGGATTTTATTGCGGATTTCGGCGAGGCAGTGTACCCGAGATATCTCGGGACTGGCTCCAGGGCTCTTATGCAATCTGCCCACAAACGATTGATAATATAAATAATAAGCAAATTATTGTACAAAATCGCAAAGCAATTGCTGGAGGGCTGGAGCTTACTTCGAATTGTTGTCTGGGATTTGATTGATTTACGTGTTTGATTCGAATTTGTTGAAAACTTATGCAAATGCTGGCCTAAATCCGTGGATTCGAATGCTGGGACCTTGAACTCGGACAGACAATCAACTTTTAAACTTTTAAATACTTCATAATTAAAATCAGCTAAACAAACAAAAGTCTGCTTGAAATTGCTCTTCAAGCGAGTCGGACACGAAAATAAAAGTTGTTAGAGACAGACAGGCAGACAGAGGGAGACGGACTACAGAGTGTATTATGCGACCCTGCAAGTGCAAGTAACCAGCAACACCACGAAAAAACAGAAAAGGAGAGGGAACAAAACTAGATGCGGAGGCCGCACACCTTTTGGCATACCCTTCTTGATAGTGAGTGGATTTCGACGATCGTCTCGCCTGTTGAAGCTGATCAATAATATATGTACCTTCTCCATGGGGCCAAAGATTCGGACTTCTCTGCGTTGCAAATATCTACCCAAAATCACGGTACTCGCTCTCTCGCTCTTAAGGGTATTAATATTGTACCAAAAACTACAACGCAGAGGGAGCACAAATGAGAGAGGAAGGGAGAATCGGCAAAATCTTTCAATGGAAGCGAAACAGCAATTTACAGTTTTTTTTCGGCTCATTCTGCTTGCTTTTTGTTGTTGCTCTTTGCAATTCCGCAGCAATGCAGTAGAGCAGGTAAGCGTGCGCGCTGGAGGGAGACAGAGAGAGGCAGATGAAACTGCTTTGAGAACTTCCCTTCTCCTCTCCTCTCCTCTTTACCACACACCTTTCCGTGGACAATGGTCATAAATATGTATAATCTCTACGAACCTTTTATGGCTGCAATATTACAAGCTGCTTCTCAAGAGTCCCCGCTGATCTCGCCACTGTGTTCTGTATTTGCACTTGCACTTTCAATTGGCGGCAATTGTTCGAATAATTGGAAGCGAAGGCTGTGAGACTGCAGCTGCAGCTTCAGGCAATGGCGAATTTATCAATAAGACATGCCTCCTCCTCAATTTGCATAATTCAGTTTACAATCTGCTGTCGAGTATTTTTGCGACCGGCACAAAAATTCGCGCGATATTACAGCGTAAACAAAACACACCACAAACACAAGCACATATGGAAAATACGAAACAAAACTTTGAAAGCGTCCGCTACACGCGCGCGCCCGTCGAAAAATGTTTGCCGATTGTTGTTGTTGGATTTGGTTGATGTTACATCGGAGGCTCCGATAGATCGATGACAAAAAAGAACTTAGCCCACTGAAGCCCCAATTATTTAAACAGCTCAACAGCTTGAATTAAGCCGCCGAAAATAATACTATTTGTGTATTCTTTTTGTAGATTCCTCCTTCCTCTTTCCCGACAACCAAACATTCCACGATATCTTTCACCTGAACTATGCTAAAATTAAACAAATTTCATTATTTTCGGTGGAATATTAAGATACCCCTTTGGTCTACAATGGGTTAATCATTTTCCGCCAGGGATTGGAAACCATATTCCTCAATTTTGATATTCGGTTTGATACAACTAGCTGGGCAGGACTCTCAGCCATGTCCCCATAGTTTTATCCGATTAATGAATCAATTTTCTACTTTACTGGCTTATTTTAAATACTTGCTTTTATTGGATTTTGTCTAAAAAACAGTTCTTACCGAAAAAGGTTAAACACAACAAACGAAAGAGAGTAATCGTTTCTATTGCTCAATTTTCATATTCTGTTGAATAATGCTGACTAACTAAACCCCTTAGCTCTGCCCACATAATTTTAGATCATTGATGAATAAATGTTCTACAAGATTAGCTTCGTTTAAGTACTCCCATTTATTGTATTTTGACTGCAGCAAGGTTTAAACAAAAAAGCTCCACAAAAAAACAGTGGCAACGTAAGTGAGTGTGAAATGTCACGTCAACCGGAGTTTGGGTACAGGTATACCCTATTTCGTTAATATATATGAAGAAACTGTTTTTCCAAGTTGTTTTAAAACGTAACTTATATAGAAATTATCTCAGGTTGTGATGTTTTAGACATATTAATTCATATGATTAGGGTCTTGTAAATATATCTCGATCCCGATATCCATTCTTGGTTTCTGTAAGTAGACCACAACCCTCAAAATATCGTTGAAGTACCTTTAAAACCGAAACTGACTAGTTTTGGCCTATATTGGTGCATTGGATGACAAAGATTCTCTCAGTTCTATAACATCCATTTCTACAGGGTATGCAAAATGTGGCTCAGTCCGTGCAATGTTGAGGAACAATGCTGCTGGATTTCACGGCACAAGAGTCTGGCCCATACAAATTGAATGTTGCAGCAGTATAAGACGTCAGAAAACGTGAGTGTGGAATGTAGGGAGATTGTTGAGCTGAAAAGGGACATTGTGGCGAGGAAAAATCCCTCCACAAAGAGAGGATATCCCATCACAAAATAGAGAGCAAGTCCCAAAGAAAAGAGAGCAAGTCCCACCAAACGGCTATCGATTCTATCGAATGGATACAAGTGGTGCGCGCCAAAGACGAATTGTTTGAAAATGAATGAGTTCCAAGTGACATTGCAAATTTAATAGATAAATGAAATTGATGAAGTAAACCATTATATACAGATATACCGAAAATATAACGACGAATTATTCATACTCCTCGATTTTGATATTCTCTCTAATGTTATGGAAATTTCCATAACTTCTTTGGATACTCAATCCATACCCTTCTAGAGTAATACCTTGAAGTGTCGGTGATTCATTATTTCCCACCGTTTCCCCAACATTTGGTAGTAGTACGACAGCACCCCACCGCACATGCACGGCGCCACTGAGAACCACGGGTTACATGTAAATGTAATGTCAAATATGTAGTACTAAAATACACACACCCCAACGATATTGGCGCCACTGAGCATGGGAATACGAAATGGAGCACGGACACCGCTTGAATTTGAATTCAAATTCAAATTTGAATGAAACATGTGCACATGCGTTTAGTATTTGTTATTAAATTAGCGACAAACGACAGTTAGTGGCCAAGCAAAACTACAGTTAAATAGGATTTCTCTCAACTTTATTAATTATTCGTTTTATTTGTAATTTTTGTTGGTTGTTCTGTGGTTTTTTTCTGTGCTCTTTTTTTTTGGCATCTCGTAAAAATATATGGTGTGGCATATATAATATTCGGTTTTGAACAAATTTTCAATAAAATATATAGTATATATTTGTAATATATAGGTAGTATATTAGTGTTTGCTCAAAAAACGGCTGTAAGCAATGCAGATTTGAACTTAATTTCTATTCGATAGATATAGTTATTTTATACAAAGTGTTTCTGTTGAACAAAGTTGTTGTAAAAATGTTTCGGTTGCAGCAATTTCGGTTGCTGTAGCTGTTCTGGTTGTTGCTGTTGGAGTTGTTGTTGTTGTTGGGGTTGTACTCGTACTCGTAGTAGTTGTTGTTGTTGTTGTTGCTTTTGCTGTTGCTGTTGGTGTGGCAGCTGCCTAAGTGGCCAATAATAGCTCCTGGCTATCGGCTTCACTTTGACTAGGAAACTGTTTTGGATTTCGATTTCGATTTCGTTTTCATTTTCGAGTGCATGGGGAAATTTATGGTGGAAAATTCTGTTTAATCAAAAGCCAAAAGTTTCGCACAAAACGAACACAAAAGTGTGTGTGTGTGTGGGTGTGGGGGTGTGGGTGTATGTGTGGAAAATGCCAGAACATTTACAAAAATGAACGTTGTCTCTAACTATTCTTTAAAATGTAAAAGTTTTATCCGTTTTTTGTTGTTGTTTTATTTGTATTATCAATTAATTGTAAATGTTTTTAGTTTCGTATTGGAACCAGTCTTGAGAAGCACACACATTTGATGCATGTATGAGACGCTGTCTGTCTAAACGTTATGTGTATACAAATATATTCATATATAAACCATGATCCACAAAAACGGGTCGGGCTCAATCCCACTTACAAATCTCTTGGGCTCTTTGGGGGGGTGGGGGAGGATTTTTTTATTTTGTTGGGGAGAGGGGTTTAGTAATTGGTTAATGCACGAACACACAGCGCACAGCACGGGGCAATTGTAGCGGGTGATGATGATGATGGACATGGACTCACCCATCTGGCGGCTGTGGCTGCTGCTGCTGCTGTTGCTGCTGTTGCTGCTGGCGACGACGACGTGCCACAGCACTGTTCTTGATAATCGCCTCGATTTCGCGACCCCCAGAACTCTCGCCCTCCGATGCCGAGGCACAATTGCCGGCCGCCACATCCTCGCCAGCCGAGGCCGCCCGAGGCTGCCCCAGTGTGGCGAGATTCCTCACCAGATTGACGGCATCATCGTGCTTCGGTGCACCGGTGGTGGTGGCGGCGTTCTCCTTGGACACATTCCGCAGTATCTGGGCCAGATTCCTCTGCGGATTGTCCACTTCATCGCCACGTGTGGCATCTGCTGTGGTCGCCGACTTGCGCAGATTCGAGACGGTGGCATGGGTGGAGCGTTTCAGGCGATTCTTCAGCTCTGCATTGAGATCCACGGGCATGAGGCCGCGACCCATGGGCCCAGGCAGGGGCTTGCTCTTGAGGATGCCCTTTAATGGTTCGGAGGGTTGTTTGCCTGCGAAACGAAAGGAGTCGGAAATCAGTTTCGGATTTGGTTTTCGAAATATTGGAAAAGGATGTATGTGCCCATTGAAAAAAGGATAATCTTAGCAAATCATTCCATTTAAAAGAAAGGCAGGCAAAAGTTAAGTCATGCACATTCCACAAGCGCAGGTTTTCTTAGTACTTACTCCGTCAGGATTTAGTATGTTCTCTCTCTCTCTCTCTCTCTCTCTGGTTATTCGTTATTCTTTAGCACAATTCTTGGATTTATTTTCTTGGTTTAACAACTTCAATCAATTAAATATTACATACAATAATAATAATAATAATAATAATAATAATCATAATAGTAAATGTAATTCATAACCATATAATCGAATATAATATTTAATATAATGCCATTTAAGGTACAATTCGCTTTTAAATTTATATAAAAAAAAAAAAAAATTGTTTGCAGCTTTCATCGATCGATAGTAAGCTTCAACTGGTAGATGGTAGATATTTATGGTATTTATGGTATTTATGGGCTGCTGCAAATAAAACGGTACTGCCTCCGGGGGGGAGGGGGGACTAAATACATTTTCCTATCGTTAACATTTTTTTTTTATTGATAATATATTTCGTTTTCGTTTGACATTTGTTTAAGTTTCGTTTCGTTTATCCAAAGGGTTGGTGTGAGTTTCTTACATTAAAAACAAAATTTCTACACAGCAAATAGTTGGATTTTTTTTTGGGGGGGGAGGGGGCTGGGGGCGGGGGACCTAGCGCATCTATCACACTGAGGCGCTACAATCCACACACGCACACACGCATACACGCACACACACATGAAGAAAGCCAAAAAAAAAAAAAGGAAAATGGGGATCGGAGAAAAATTGGAATAATTTTGAATTCTTGGCCAAAATGTAACAATTTTTCAGTCCAATATCTCCACGCACAGACGTTTGAAGTCCTTGCCGGCGGCATTTAGCTCTTGGGATGTGACCTCAATGTCCTCGAAGCTGGAGATAATGGCCTTTGACCGATTGCTGGGCGAATGGGCTCTCTTCGGACTGGGCATCGCTGTGGGACTGATGGTGCCGCTCGAGTAGGCTTCCAGGGATATGGGACGCGTGCGCTTCAGCATCTCGCGACGCTTCTGCGTAAGCAATGTCGTCCCCGGCTGACGCACATGCTCGTTGGTGGCCTCCACCTTGGTCACAATCCGTGTCGGCATCGACGGCGTCTTAATCACGGTCGTTATGGACTTGAAAGTCTCCTCGACGCCAAAGTACTTGGCATAACGGTCATCCACGCTGGGGGCTCGCATAGCACCCATCGAGGAGCTGGTGATTTCGGTGGTGTGACGGCGATTAACGGGCTGTGCTGACGACTGCTTCTCCTGGGACTGGCCCTGGACCAGTAGCGATATCTTCTTTCGCATCTCCACCATCTTCTGGAGGGGCACATCCTCGACCTGAGGCGGCGGCTGCTGCTGCTGCTGCTGATTGGAGGCGCAGTTCTCCTTCCCGGAGTCTGAGCCACTGTCGCCGCCAGCTCCATTTGCCTGCTTGTAGTCGTACTTCACAGGCTTCACTGTGGCCGCCACCGTGGGTGTGGAGTGATGCTGCTGTTCGATGAAGGGCGACTTGATCTTCCCGATGGCCCGGACGGTCACTGGTATTTGCACTGCCTCCACGATCTTCAGATGCTCCGCTGCCGCATAGCTGTTCCTGTTGACGCTGGCGGTCCCACTCTTGTTGTTGTTGTTGCGATCTCCGCCCCGGAATGTGTCTGGCAGGACCAGTTTGCCCACCGTGCGCATGCGCACGCTCCTCAAGGACGTCGGTGTGGTGGCGGCGGTGCTGGCGTTGTTGGTGCACGGCTCCGTGGCCGAGCGGGTCAGCACGTGGAAGCCATTGTGTTGCTGCGACGACGACGACGTCGACGACGATGTCTCTGGGTCTGGCTCCGGCTCCATGATGATCTCCAGCGTTAGACTAGACGGCTGTTGCTGCAGCTGCTGCTGCTGATCCTGGTCGTACGGTATGGGCGAGCACTCCATGCGCGTGGGCGTCAAGCTGGAGCTGCTGTTCCGCGGCGTGCGATCGGTGGGCGGACTGCGCGAGTAGCTGCTGGTGCGGCTGCGGTACCGGCCGCCACCGCTGGCGCTGCCCGCACTGCCATCGCACAGGCTGCTGAAGAAGGCCAGGCGTTCGGCCAGCGACAACGATGAGGGTTCTGCGATCGAAGACACATATAGGGTTTTTTTTTGGGGATTAGATGTTAGTTTTTCTACTCTGTGATGATGGATCTTACGCATCTCATTTGCTCTTTAATCTTTAATGTATGGATATATTTATTGTAGTTGTTGTTGCTGGCTGCTGACTGCTGACTGCCGCTTCGTGGTTGCGCCTCAACTCGCGGCGACTTACAAAAGTCAAAGACGATGTGCGCATTGAGTTTTTATCCAACTTTGGGGCAAGCGGCGCCCACTCAAGTCTCGACACAAAATGTTGCTGCCGTTGCTTTTGCCGATAACATGTGTGTATTTTTCCTCTCTTTTTTATACGGATATCGCACACATTTGTGGCTGCCGCTGGTCGTATCTTTATCAACCACTAGACTAAAGACCCAGCAATCACAAAAGATTTCTGCCACCCCCATAGAAAGTTTCGTCTGTCTGTGGCATTTATATGGCAATTTCTATAATTTACTTCGCTCTTTTGTCCACTGTCTAGCCACCATAGAGTACAGCACCTATAAATACATATGGATGTACGTACGAGTATCTCTTTGATAGTTTTCATTTTCATTTGCAAACTTTCGATAGTTGTTCCTTAATTGATATGAACTTTCTTTGCGGAATGTGTGGCATGATTGATACAACAACAAACTGTTGAGCGAAATTGTGTTGATCCAGATTGGATGCTCGAGAGTCTCTCTAGGGACTGCAATGTTCTCAAAGAATGAAAGCAATGCGAAACATGCAAAATATCGAGAGCATTATATGGAAAAACCTGCTTTTAATTACCGATAAATGGTAATTGCGAAAATAGATAAAAAGCCTATGGATGTGGAAAATAACTAAAAATAATCAACTAAAGAATCATCAATCATTTTTCTGTACTTAAGAATATTCTTGGAAATAAATTTCCATTGAATCTGGAATATTTCTAAACCTATGGCAGCACCCAAAGAGCTCTTAAAGTATAGAAAGTGGCCTTTAGTATCTGCTCCAATGGGATGAAATATTGCCACAAATATTAAAAAAAAAACATCCAGTAAATTCTTTCTTTTTCTTGTGTACTTTTCTCTATGCCACCAAGGTCAACGTTACTCCCACCTTATCAATCATGAAATTTTACGACACGAGCCGACAAAGAAGGAGCGCTAGGTCGTCGCCCACTCCCATTGTCATCAGAGGAGAGGCGCCCCAATCTGCGGTCGTAAAACAAACCCCTCCCAACCGATGGCCGATGGCCGTTAGCCGATAACCGATAACCGATTACCGATCGGTGGATGGAGCAAAATGGAGGTTAACAGCATTCCACAAGTGTGTCAGTGTAACGCTAAGGAGGAGGGGAAGGAAGACTTCCCCCTTGGATTCCGACTCCGAAAAGGAGGAGTCCACAAAAATGTTGTAAGTAAAATGCCGTACAAATTATGAACGCTTAATTAAGTTCACTAAAGACTTCCCCCCCTCCCCCCGACCGGTGCCGCACCGAGCCGCAGACGGTGGCAGGTATCGCATCGGGAAAATATGTGGAAATGTGGCAAAGAAAAACGCGAATCATAAATTATATAAAAAAAAAAACAAATTAAATTAAAACACTTGTTAATAATTTTCTCATGCGGCAGCAACAACAATAAAAAAAAAAACCAGAGCAAACGGCAACGGCAACCGGCAACAGCAACAATTATAACAAGAAGTTAATTCATTTGTTAAAAAAAAAAAAAAAAAAAAAAAAAAACGGGCAGAAATAATGAAAATGTAAATATAAATGAAAATGAAAAAAAATGAAGGAAAATGCAATGGAAAATTGTATGTATGATGGATGCACATGCATGGAAAACCATGGAAAATTGCTTTTTTGCGATTCTCCTTTCGGCTGCCGTTTCTCTTCTTTCTTTCCTCTTGTGTGGCAATTGCGCAATTTTCGCAATTTCTGCGGTTCGCTCAAAATTTGTTTCCAGTCAATCATTAAAATTAGTCTCGCGGGCGCGCCAATCAAATTATGGTATTAAAAAAAAAACAACAACAACAACAACACAAGACAACATTAAGCAACAACAACAACAACAACAAGAACAATAAATATATATATATATGTATATGTGATTTTTCATTCCAAAAAACATGAGCTTTTTCGTGCAATCAAAAACGATAAGATTTCGAGGCAAACAAATGAGGGGCAAGGTACAAGGTGTTGCACAAATGAAAAGAGGAGACAGAGAACCAGAGTCCTCAGAACAATGCTTTCGGGTTCCCCATCTCCTCCTCCAGATTGGGCCAATCCAATCCCCAGGGGGAACTTACCAAATTCTGCATCTTGTGTATTGTTTGGCGACATTGGATCATCGTTTGGCTGCGATATGTCCACAGGATTGGTGGTGTTTCCAGGCGATGGCTGTCGCTGGTTGGCCCCTGAAATATTTGAAACATAATCTAAAACATTCTTTTCCCAGATCGGATTTGCAAGGATTTTCAGCTTTATCTTGAAATTTATTTCCATTGTTTGTTATATTTTTGCTATATATGTTCCGGGCTGTAGATCTGACTATACTATAACTGCTGTGCTATGATTGACATGACTTTCAATGGCTACTTTTCGATCGGGGCAGCAGGCCCAGGCCTACTGCTAATCTCGAGTGTGGCACCCCCATCCCCTGTCTGGGCCTGTTGTTGCACAATCAGCTAGCCACGCGAGCTCCAATTAGCCGCTGGATGGCCAGAGAGGCGCCGCGACAAGCGACAGGTGAGTGTGGTGCTGTGGTGCTGTGGTGGTGTGCGGTGTGTGTGGCAAGGCAAGTGACACACATTTTACAGCTTATTAACTTGGCCAACAACCATGAGAGGCTTGCCAACAAAACGGAACAAAAACAACAACAACAAATGGCAACACACATCTGGCAAAAAAAAAAACACTCACAAAATAAAGGTGTCATAGACCGATAGGGCACAGAGGTGGACATTCGAGGGGCACTCTCCCCTAGAAGTATATGGCTAATGGAGCTCTGTTTGTTCTGCTATCCAGAGCTATTGAAAGCGACACCCTCCAGCCAGTGACATACCATCGTGGTCTTTAAATAAGGAATATAACAGAGCTCTATGTAGTAGGGAGGTCCCTTGGTGGTCACCTCTGTTAAGCCCCTGTTCAGTCCGAAAGACTCTACTCTACTCTAGTTTTATCTACTCTACTGTTATCCCATTCTGGCTTTTGGCTTCTGGTTTCTGTGGTCTTGGCCTTCTTGCTATGGTTCGTTGCTGTTGCCGTTGCCGTTGCCTCATGGGCCACAACAAAGTTCGCACAGTGGCCTGGCCTGGCCTGGCCCGGGCTGGCCAACGTAGCGGTCTCCTCATTTGTTTTATTGCTTCATGCTAATTTCTGGCAGCCCTCTGCTCCTCTCATCTACGAGGGGTTGAAGTACTCACCCGTTGCACGTGGCGTTGACTGATCTCCTGATGACAATGAGGATGATGATGCTGCTGCTGTTACTTCACTCCGACGGTTGCGCGACTGTTCCTGCTGCAATTGCTGGAACATATTGGCCCTGGCCCGAACACTGTTGCTGCGTGCCAAGCCACTGGCTGGTGTTGTGGTTGCGGTGGCAGATGCAGATGCAGAGGCGGAGGCGGATACTTCGTCGCTCAGCGACTGTATGGCCGAGTCCTCCTCCAGTCCGGACATCTCGAAGATGTGCTCGCTGTCCGTGCCCACGGAGAGGGTCAACTGTTCGCTGAGATTGACGCTGTCGTTGATGGAATGCTGGCGTGCCAGCAGCAGCGGTGACGAGGCTGACGCAGTGGCACCACCCTGTGCGGCCAAGTGGACGACGCGTGGGGATTGCAGGGGCTGCGTGGAGCTGCGGGCCAAACGGAACGAGGCTCCTGCCCCCGAATTAGTCGATGAGGAGAGCAGCAGTGGTGCTGGCACGTGGCTCAGTGGTTGTCCGGTTATCGGGGATATCAGTGGCTGCTGCTGTTGGCCGTGGCTCAGGCGAATGTCCAGCGGCTTGGTGGGCTTGAAGGCCGACGTGCCCGACGACGAGATGTCAAAGGACGTGGAGCTGGCTTTGAAGCTGCAAAATAGTGGAATCGTTGAAAACATTTACATAACAAATAACAAATAGCAAATGGCATAAGTATTGTGTGAATCTCTCCGTCTGCGAACAATGCCCGCGAACAGCATTTTGGCCATAATTATGGGCAATTTTGGTCAAGTTAATTACGGCCATAGCGGTGGGATGGCGGTGAAACCTCTCAGCCCCTCGAGGGAATCTCTTCCCATCAACCGAACCGAACCGCAGTGAAGTGAAGGTAAAAGTTTATGCGCTCAGCGATGGCCCCAAGAATTAGCCAGGGAAAAGCCAGCAGTGAAAGGTAATTGAATTGATGATAAGGTGCAAAGACACACACAAACCAGAAGAGCCGCTAAAGAAATTCAAAAATTTCACAAGATAATCTCCAGTGTCTTGCCACACTCCACATTGCCACAGATGCCACAGATACCACATATATTCTGCATTTTTCCTACCACATTCCCTGCTATTTTTAGTCGTTTCACCTACAACTTGTTCAAGTTTTCCCAATTCCAATATTTGTTTGCATTTTCCAGGCGATGCGAATGAAGGAAGGCAGAGGGAAAACTATAAATAAACAACTTAAATAAATAGAAAAAACCAAGCTAATTGGATTTTCAAATGAAAAAGAGAGCAGAGACAGAAGAGAGGGGCCAGAGAGAAACCAACCAAAAAGAGTGCCCAGAAGAGAGGATTCATGGGAGAAAGAGCAAACACAGGGAAGTACATAAGAGAACTATAATTTCAAAATAATATTTATGGCCCATGATTAGGGGCAACAGTTGCAGATATTCTAACAAAAAACCAAATGATGATTGTGCGAATGATCTAATCACGAAAATGAGGGAAAAACGTAAGCCACAAAATACATCTATCTTTTAGCCGCCAACACGTATCTGTATCTGTATGTGTATAATAATTTCCACAAATTATTTCTTTTTATGATGACAATGATTTTTGCACACTTGGCAGCGGGTTTTCACATTTTGGCACTTGAAAATGGCTGCACATTTCCATGGAATTTATTTATAGCACATTACGAAAGAGAGATGCTCGAAAAATCTCCCATTTCCACATCCATTTTCCACTCTCATGGCACACATATCCACTCCATAATTTATTCAGTGATTTTCATGCTAAACATTTCCATACAATTTCATCCAGTGATTTCCATTGATATTCAAACCGATATTCGATTCCCCCAAACCTCTTTCCAGTTTACAAAACACGCGGTAAGTGTCGCGAGGAATGTCACTCGAATGGGTTCTGACCGTCAACCGGCAACTGGCAAAGACATTTTGATGGCATGAGAACGTGGTTTTTCTTTGAACAGACCTACACACAAATCTACGACTACACATATACCATTTCATTCTGCCTTCTTGGTCTTACTTCTACTTCTCCTTCTGCTCGTACCTTCCACTTTCCACCTTCCACCTGATAAGGAAACCGACCAGACCGAACCGAACCGAACCGAACCGCGCGGCGATTTTGTTTTATCAGTTATGAGTGGTAGTTTCGATTTCTTTTCCACCTATTCACTCCACTATTTGTTCTCTTTTTGATGAGAACTTTGATTACTTTAATAGTAGTACTCTCTTTTGATGATATAGTGATTTGATCACTATTTATGCTCTCTTTGGTGGAGAACTTCAATCACTATCTATGCTCTTTTGTGACATACGTTTGGAGCACTTTTTACACTCTGTTTTTTTTTTTTAAGGGAATAAATCAGTTTTAATCTTTTCTTTTCTAGTTATCCAGAATCACTTTTTTATGAAGCGTTTTAATCACTATTAATTCTGGTACTTTTCAAGGAATTGGAGCTTTATTTGAGACGGGTTTTGGCACACTCTTTGGCTAGTGATTGGAGTATGTTTTTTTTTTTAATTTTCTCCCTGTTTCAATCACTATTTTTTATTCTCAATTTCCTTCACTCTCTCTCTCTCTCTTCCGTTAGAAAAAAAAATAAATATATATTTTATTTTGGCGCTGTGTTTGACGGCGGCGTACGTGAAAATTGAAAAAGCGATCGCGAGCGACTGAGCGAAAAAATTGTAAAAACAAATGGGAGACGCCGCCAACGCCGCTGCTGCCGCTGACGATCGCAGCAGCGGAAGAGCAGAGCGGCTGAGCGGCAGAGCAGAGGCGACCGGCGGATCCGGCCAGCGGTTGAGTGGTGCGGCGATTGGTTGGGTGGTGCTGCACAGTGGTGCAGAGTCGGCGGCGCTGTCGACGTCGCTGCTAGCAAATTTAAATTATTTTCAGCTTTTGTTTTTCTTTTTCTTTAGGTTTTCCTCGTTTTCTTTTTATTGCTGCGCTTTATATTTATTTTGGTCTGGTATTTTCCTTCCTTTTCTTTAGTGGATTTTCTCTGATTTTTCTTTTGCTCTGGCTATTTTCTCAACAAGAAAAGAGAGGAGAAGCCGCTTCGTGTGGAGAACATTGTTGCTCTTTTTTTGAATATTATTTTTAGGAACATTTCGCTCTGTGAATGGGCCACCGACTGACGTTGAAAAAGTGCGACATGGAAGAGTTATTTATGGAAAAATATGGTACGATTTTTGGCAGATATATGGAGCCAGTAATGTCTATAGATAGATGATGTCAAAGGGTGCTGCCGTTTGGGTTAATGATCCTCTAAGAGAGGGTAACTATTGGAGGTCTACTCGTTGACTCTCAGAACCTTGAAGAGTTATCTGTCCAAAGGCACTTCTGATGATCCTACTGTGGGGTTTTGTACCCTCAATCGAGAACACTTATGGAAAATATGGCAGATATGGCTATAGCTGTACTGAGGCGGCTCTTTGGGCCTTTCCGCTATCTATCAAGAAGTACTTCTGATGATCCCTGATACTTGAATTGTTATTAGAAATCCTATTGCAAATTCTTTTGGAAAATTTGGGAAAAATTAGTAACTTCTTTGTTTCGATGTATCGATGGGTTTTGAGATATTTCAGCGGTAGAGCAATTATACGAGTGAATCCTCACTTGATCGAAGAACAGATAAGACTGAAAACTTCTAAAACCCTTCAGCCTAATCATTTCTTTGGCTATTTATTGGGATCGTGCATTCTTAGCCAATTTTAAGCAACCATAAAATGTATTCTAGATAGATTCTACATAGTGATAGGGTTCGGGGCTAAAGTCTCCCCCGCTGACTAAGTTTTGTCGATTGTTCGGGTTATCTTATCAAAAGATTACGAAAGATACAGATACATAACATTGAATTGGACATGCCATGGCAGCCACTACGACAAGTATATCGATTTAATCGGACCACAAATATTCGCTCTCTCTCTCTCTCTCTCTCTCTCTCTCTGGCACACCACAAAAAAATGTCCGAGTGCCGGCAATTATTGACAGGTTTTTCGTTTGATTTTTGACAGTTTTTGATAGTTTTTCCTTCGATTTGGTGGAGTGGTAAAGGGGAGGAGGGCTTTTCCATTTACCGTTTTCTGATATACGCCTCAAACATTTTTTTACTCTGACGTCGCTGCAACAACAACATGGAACACAAGGACCAAGGACAAACCCTTTTATGTTTTCGTTTTGGTTAGAGTCCTCTTCAATCTAGGTGATTGGCGGTGATTGCTTCCCGACAGAGTGCTCGTACTCTCCGCCCCTCGCTGGTACTCGTGTGGACAGATATATGGTTATGACGCACACCCCCCAACAGAACAGAACAGAATAGTACGGAACGGAACGGAACAGTACGGCACAAACCCCCAGATACGAGTATCTTCTGAACGCGTTCGAGCGCTGCAACCAACTGAAATGCAAGCAACGCTTGTGCCGTGTTTTGTTGTGGGGGGGTTCTGTTCGTTCTATGGGGCATATGGCTGTATGGCTGTATGGCTATATGGGCAGCATAAATTACACGCCACAAAGCCTCGAATGTGTGCGAAAAGATATTGACAATACCGTTCGCTGAATGCAAATGTGACAGGCGGCGAAGAGTGTGAAAAACAAAGGCACTGCGGAAGGGTACGGATAGGAGGGGGGCAGGGCGGCAGGGCGGCAGGGGGGCGGTAGGGATTCCACAAGAACTTATTGTTCTGTTCTTGTCGGTGGGTCTTTTTTTTAGGAAAGGGAGTGCCGTGCCAGGCGGAACAAAAGCCCCGAAAAAAACAAAAAGCAACAACAACAAGAAGAACTCTATGGAACACTCACTCGTGGAGCACAGCAGCGCACATAAAATGCTGACATAAAAACACAGTTAAAACGCGAACTTTGTAGAGTTAAGGGGGGGAAGGGGAGGGCGGACGGGTGGGCTGTCTATTCTAGTATTTTTTTGACTGATTCTAAAATGCTTTTAGTGGCTAAAAACTAGGTTTACGACGCTTGACATTGGCCGGCCAAACCTTTGCAAAATTCGCAGAAATTGACAGTCGTCGGAGGTGAGAATTTGTTGAATGACAGTCGGGCTAATAGCTAGAGACTGATGGGCAGGAAGAGCCACTAAAAGGTGGCGAATGATAGGCAGGAAGGAACTAATCTTAAATCGAGACCTTAGGCTGAAAGAGAGGTAGATCTTTTATGGATCCAGAGATCCAAGAGGGTCACTGCTGCATAACTGGAGACTTATACATATTATCGAAATGGAGGATCTATCGACGAAAATCCTATGATTTGATAACCTTAAAGTGTATTCAAATATGGATCTTTAAATGGTTTATGTGCTAGTGAAGCAGAACTCAAAAAGATCATATATAACAAGGTAGGAAATCGTTTCTCCGTTAAAGAATGACCTTAAAATGGCAATCTTTACATTCAAAGAACCTGTATTACAGCGGGGCCTGAGAAATCATCTTTCTTGATCGTCTAAAAACTGTATGAATGTCATAATGTAGTACCAAAATGATCTTCGAAGGTGGAAAAGTATTCTAACAATGGAAATAGAGGAACCTGGAAGATTTTTCTACTCTCCAGAGCCCTCTGGTATTCTCCAGCACTCTTTCTGAACTGCTCTCTCGTGTACCCCTTTCCTAATGCCCTCTCGTATACCCCTACCCCTAGCCCTGCCTCGTAAGCCAATCGACCTTCTCTAATCACCAAACCATTACTAACCTTTATTTTGATTTTTTTGTATTTTTTGCGGGCACTCGCGTGTTCTTGTTGGCCTCAATTGTTGCACAGAGGGCGGGGGAGGGGAGAGGGAGAGAGGGAGAGAGATGGGGGTACCTGCACAGGTAATTAGGCAAGCAATAAGCTGCTTAAGTGACAAAAAATAGGTAAGAGGTAATAAAAAAATAACAGAATAAGCAAAGAAAAGTGAATTTACGGCAAATGAATATATGATGGCAAATACGAATTGAGGCCAGGCCCTGGCGGGACTTCGCTGTGTTTTGTTTTGGGGAAACAGCAACAGAGTTCGTGGCAATTGGCTGGCAATTTCGCTGGAAATATGGAAAACATATCATCATCTAAGGGGTCAGCGATGTGTGGCCACAAAAACACAATTGAGCAGAACAAAATATAGATATAATTATGCAGAAGCAATGACCAGAGAGGGGAGTATCGGTGTGACCCTGAATCAGGGGGCAATAACTCCACAACTTTTCATGTACTTCCATGCCACGGGGAAAAGCGAGAGAGAGAGGGAGGAATGTCGCACATTCGGACCAAAAATAGCCATGATTCCATGCCGCTGCTGGAATTCTTTGGGCCATCGAAGCGTGAAGCGGTGACATCGTGTGACAGCTTGACAGCCTGCCAGCCAGCCGCACGATGCGTATACGCAATGTGGGATTACGGATACAGATATAGATACAGGGAGAGATTCGCACACGGAAATATTCTATCTGTTGGACTTACAAGCTCTTCTCCTCGCTCGTAACCGGCTGCGTTTTGTATCGCTCCCTCTGCAGATCCCTTCGCAGGACACTGGGCTTCAGCAGACGCGGGACCGGGCATCCCTCTTCAGCTTCTGGTGTTTGCTGTAGCGGCGACTCCCAGCTGCTGTTGATGCCACCCGCCAGGCGGGAGGTCGGTGTCGCGAGCATCTCCATGCGCTTAATCCTCTCCGCCACGGATATACTCGCCGGAGTGGTGACAAAGTCGACGGGGGTGCTGCTGGCGGGAGCAGCTGCCGCCTGCGATGTGGAGATGGCATCGAGTGCTGCAGCCAAATCCATGACGGGCGGGGCATCCTGACGCTCCAGCGAGCGGGTGCGACGCTTTAGGAGGCTCGGGGAGTCCTGGTCGTGGGAGGAGCCCAGGGAGCGCCGCTTGGAGGGCGAATCGGTTTTCAGTATGGGATGAATGGGCGAATCGGTGCCTCCATCGTGATCCAAGCCGCTCAGATCGAACTCCTCGCGACTGCTCTTGCGGGAGGACTTTAGTATCGGTCGAATCGCCTCGTGCTCATCCGCCTCCCCAAACGACTTCTTCTTCAGTATGGGCTTCGGGGGACGAACTGCCTCCTCGCTGGAGGTGCTCTCCTGCTTCAGAATGGGTCTGATTTCATGCCACTCGCCCTCCCCTACTGCATCCTCCAGTCCGAAGCTGCCGTCGTGATGGGCCGCCAGTTCAGCGGCTGCCAGTGTCACGGCCTGCGAGATGGACACATGCTTGTGGCAGCCCCCGTCCGAGGGCGTCGACAGCGAGTCCTTCTTCTTCAGGATGCTATGCGGCTGACTCTCCGTAGCCGAGGGGCAGCCGTCGCTCTTGCTGCTGTCGTAGCTGCTCTGCTTCAGGATCCCATGGCTCTGGGCGGGACTCAGTCCCGTGCCTGCTTCCTCGAGGGAGTTCCGCCTCGCGGATTTGATCAGTATGCTCCGCTCATCCGGGGAATGGGACCGGGAGTAGTAGCGCGACTCGTCTAGGCTGGAGCGCTTCTTCAGGATCCCCTGACGCTTGCTGCGGGCGGTCCCCGCCAGCGGTGGATCCATCACGCTCGAGGAGAACGTCACTGGGGAGGCGTTGCTCGAGGCACTCGAGTTGCAGTCCCCAAAGGCCTGTTCCTTTTTCTTGAGAATGGAAACGATCTGGTTTGGTGCCGGGGGAGAGCTCTGTGCACCGGTGGCCGCTGCTCCTCCTGTGACTCCTGCCTCATCCGAGCTCTTGCGTCGCAGAATTGCTGCAGCAGACATTTTCTGGCTTGCCATCTCCTCTGGCTGCTGCTGTGGCGGCTGCGGCTGCTGCACCTCCTCCGATTGATCCACAATCTTCTTAATCTCCGCGAGATCCGCACGGGTTCGCTCATTGAATTTCTGGGAAACAGTCTTCGCGGCCGGCTGCAGGGCATGCAGTGGTCGTGGCGCAGGCAACACAGCCGTCATCGTGCGCACAGCCACCTCGGGATGGCGCAGTCCAGGGTAGGGGCACGGCGGTGGACGCAAGGATTCCGACCTCGAGGCCACAGTCGATTCGCTGCAGGAGCTCTTCACCGGCGACTGGGAGAGCAGATCCCTGAGGGTGTCATCCTCTCCAGGAACCAAAGGACGTGCCATTCCCAGTTCACGACGACGTCGGCGGCGATTCGAGGCGTCTGCCTCATCTGCAAAAGAAGATCAGCGGATTAGTGGCAGGTTCGGAAGGCATCGAAGGGGCTCAAATTTCACAGGACACTTGGGCGGACACGTGCATAACAGTGGGCGGTGGCGGGGCAACAACAGCATTTGTGGACGGTGGTGGGGCAACAGCATTTGGTGGCGGACTTGGACATATTTTACACAGGTTTTTCGTATGGAAATGGTGGAGGCGGACGCGGTGGCGGTGGCGGAGCCTGAGGCTAAGGAAAAGCTCTCCTCGCGGAGTACGAAATGATGGAAATGGAAGTGTTGCAAGGAGCAACCGCGGTGTGGTTGATGCCCCATGACGTTCGAAGATTGACTGACGGCTGCGAAGAGGTCGTGTCTATCGCGTGGAAACTGGAAACCTTTCTGCAGTTCCATTCGATGCATTCAAGCTTGAAGGCAAAACAAAACCCAAATTTGGATGCCCTGCTCAATGATGCTGCCTCCCATCCGCTGCCGCTGCCGCTGCCGCTGCTGCTGCTGCTGTTGCCTCCTCTGTGGCTGCATCCATCCATCCGTTTGTGTGTGCCACTCCACTTACCGCCATCCTTGGTGGCTTCCTCTGTCAATGAACGATTCAAATTTGATTTGCGTTTCGCCGACTTATCGCGATCTCCCAGACGACGGGGGGAGCTCTCCGGCTGAAGGAGGGGGAAACGAAAGATTAGTTTTTGGGGCATGCCACATAGATCTCTTCGCCGAGCACTCACCGTTCGCTTGTGCTTTTGCACGGGACTCAGCTGCAAGTTGGCCAGATTCAGATGATCGCGTGCCCCGTTCTGCGTGTCCGTCTGCTCGGTGCACAGTGTGCTGCTGCGCGGCCGCATCTTGAGGGTGCAATCGGACGAGGCCGTAAAGTGCAGTTCGCTGAGGTTCTGCTTCATGGAGAGGCCACTGCCGACGGCCACCAGGTTCTGTTTTCGCTGTGTGGGTGGCGTGTCCGCCGGTTGGGACGAGGATCGCTGCTTGGACTGTCCTGCTGCTCCAGCCACTCCAGTCGCTGCTGGCTCCGAGTTGAAGCCACAGATGACGGTAGACTTTGGTGAAATCTCGGAGCTGCTGAGGCGACGACTTGGCGAGCGACCACCGGCTGCTGCACCGCCCGTGTTCCTTGGGGAACAGGGCGAACTATAGCGCTGGCGCTGATGCTCCTCTTCCTTCTTTTTGTCTGCGGGGGGGCGGCCAGGGGGAGATTTGTGGGTGGAAGGGGAGACAATTGGAAATGTGATGAAAAGGAGCTTTGGCTTACATTCGTTGTACACACACACAAACACACACAATGAACACGGAACGAAGGATAGCAGAAGGGTGTTAGATACATTTTTGAAGAAAGATAAACCCTTGAACCAATCTGATGTCAGGTGTGTGGCATAGACAGAACCAAAGAGAGAGAGAGAGAGAGATAGAGGGAGAGACACTCACCGAGCGCTGCGGCACGCAGGCGACTGGCTTTGGTTTGACGCACCGCTGGCGAGGATTGGGGCGATGTGGATGTGGACGAAGAGCAGCAGCTGCCGCCACCGCCACTGCCGCCGGCCGCCTCCAAGCCCAAGCCCAAGCTCAAAGGGGAAATCGTGGGGGGATTCTTGCGACGTTTAATCGGAGAACTCGTGGCAGAGGCGGAGGCGGAGGCGGAGGCGGGGGCAACAGCTGTGGCACCTCCTCCTGTCGTTGTTGTCGCTGCCGCTGCTTTCAGCACAATTAACGGCGCTTTGTTGGCATTAGCTAGGGGCGGCATGGGCGTGGTGTTGTTGCCTCGTTTCTGTGGCAGTTGCAGATTAGTGTTGTTGTTGCTGTTGCTGTTGCTGTGGCACTGGCCTTTGCTGCAGTGGCAGTTGCAGTTGCAGTTACAGTTGTTGTTGTGTATGTAGGCGCAATTAAGGCTGCATTTGGTGGGAGCTTTTCCCCTGCTGTTGCGGCTGCTGCTTGTTGTTGCTGTTGTTGCTGCTGCTGCTGCTGCATGTTGCATGTTGCATGTGTTTTTTTTGAGGGGGTAAATGCGTGGAGACATTAAAGCATGTGGGATTTCTTGTTGTTGTTGTTGTTGTTGTTGTTGTTGTTGTTGCTGTTGTATTTTCGATTGCATAATGCTTGATATCCAAAAAGATTGATCGATGACAAGAAATTACAGGGGGAAAAAACCGAAAGAAAAGCTGTCTTTCAGGGGCCAAAAAGTTCGTACAAGCCTGAAGATCGCTTCAATGGAAGCTGCACATCATATGTGTAAGGCTTTGAAAGGGTATCAATAATCGCAGCTATCCTATCTCCGAGTTTCAAGCATGAAAAACTTTGATTTAAACGACGATATTTTCTCTTATGGCCATTCGATTTAAATCGAATTTGTGTCTAGCTATGGAAGAAGACATCGTAAAACCCTCATCAAAGGTCTGTGTTCGAGTTTCGGAAATTAATCGATGATCGACGAGAGAAAAAGTGGAAAAAGTGATGGGAAATACTTGCGAAAGTTTTGTGTGACAAAAGAAAAGCATTAAAACCAAAAGAAATCTATCATTTCTGGTCGATAGGTTTGGGGCCTGAGGGCCTCGTGAGACGGAGAGGTGATCAAAGCTTCATTAGCAAAACATTTGATGATGATATATGAGAGGAACTCTGACAATGATTACGAATAATTTCTCAAAAATAAAGCCATACAAATTATCATGAAATGCTGGAGCAAAACCTATTAGATTTAATGCCAAAAATATTGCTGAAAGATTGAATTTCATTTAGCAAAAACAAACAAGAATCACATGGGAATGTCCCCGCCGTACCCAGAGGGCAATGGAAATATTTTCTATGGAATTTCGCACATCTCGATCCCAAGAATCGCAAGAATCACAAGAATCTACACTCATGTGAAAGCAACCTCAGTTGAACCTCCCATCCCCACCATCGTTTCGTTGTGTTTTTTGGGGCTTATGTAATCCAACGAACGAAAACGCTTTCGTAATCTCCAAAGACCGAAAGACGGAGAGACAGCAGAGAGGGCGCCGCGAAATTTAAGCGAATCATCTTTTACCAGCAGCAGCATCAGCAGCAGGCCAGCAAATAATGATCATCCCGTCCGTCCTCCGTTCATTGCCTTCTGACTGTCTGTCAGTCGCCATCTGTCTGTCATCCATTCCGTCCGTCTGTCTGCCTGTCAAAGATCACTGAACGCTCTCTAAACTTTCCAGGGCACTCGGCGAGAGCATTCGCCTTTTAGATCCGCCATCCGGGAGGGCTGCCCCTCCACGAACAAAAATCAAATTAATTCCATGAACAGAAATTGCCAAATTGGTAAATATTGAAATCAATACCGCAAGCCACAAACAAAAGAAACAACGAACACAAAAGGCCTGGAAAACAACAATTGATAGGGAAATGAAAGATCTCAACAAGAGATCGATCATCCAACATCGATCGGGGAGAAGCTGTGTGTTTATTTATGGGACAGATCGCTCGTTCTGTGTGTGGCATTTCAATTGGAAAGAGATTAAACCCTAACGCCCTACTCCACCCTCCAGTCGATCCTCCATCGATCTCTGCAGCAACCTCAACCACGATCCGAGGCAGTCATAGAAGAACGAATGCATTTAGAAGGGAATATGCGATAATTAAAATGCCAATTCTTGTCTTTTGAATGCGATCGAATAGGCATGAATGAGAGCTCATTCGATCCTCAGATTCCTAAGATCTTTTTTGCGCAGTTTTTCTGTGATCAACGGCATTCCCATAACCATATTATCCATGGAATCCATGGGTGAATCTATGTCACTGATCTTCGACAGCTTCTTGGTAGATCGATTCCCACAATCTTTTGGGCAGCTCTGTTTCGGATGGAAAGACTTTCTCAACCCATGCAAACACCCGTTACGAGGGAGGCAGAAAGAGAAAGAGAGGGAGAGGGAGAGGAAGAGTCTCCGGGTCTGGGGTCTGTCAAAAATATCTATGAAAACCTTTTTCTTGATAATAAACCTGATTTCAAACGAATCCAACGATCGATGAATGAATGAAATCCCGAATTGATAAGCAATAAAAAATAATACAAAAATAACAAAAAATTGGGCACACACCGCTCGCTGGATCCGATGGGGTTTGTTGTTTGGGTTTTGGGCTTTGCTTTGCTTTTTTTTTGGTAGGTAGATATTCGTGTAGTCTTCGTCTATTAGCAATTTTATGGCATCTTTCATTTGCCTAAAAGTTGCGTGAAGTCTCTGCTTGGGTTTGGCGGTTTGGGGGTCTCAATCTTATTTAATGACAAACAATTTTATTCATTTATACACACACACACAGAGAAAAAAGGAGCAAAAACTCTTGAGAAATTCGAAGTCATAATATCGTTAAAAATTGTGCAAATTTTATATAATTTTTGTGTTTTGAATTTTTAGACGTTTTTCTGACAGTCCAAAGGCGATTTGGAAATTGATTCGAGTCTGAAATTGATTTGAGTCTCAATTGCAATTGGATTTACGAGTAAATGTCCGAAGGTCTCTTCGAGCGATAGACATAGAGCATAGATACAGATACAAATTAACATTTTGTGTCTAGAAAACGTTTTCGACTCGACTCGACTCGACTCGACGCTTGATTGGCAAGCCGACAAAAATCTAATTTCGTTTAAATTGCTTTTAAGTGTAGCGCTAAATAAGAAGAAACAACAACATCAACAACAAAAATAAAAGCAAAAGTAAAAACGAGACAAACTCTGGGGTCTCTCGGCCCTCTTCTGATGATGGAAGTTTTTCGGTATTTTCGTTAAACTAATTTTCTGTGCAGAAATGAGTGCTGCTCAGGGCTGCTGCGCTGTGGCATGGGGCGGGCTAATTACCAAACACATTTTAGTGGGAAAGTTTTAGCGGCCACAACAAGAATCCATTAATGATATTGTTATTGGCTTCACAATCGTAGAAGGGTAGAAGGGTAGAAGGTAGAGGGGGAAAGTGCGAGACCGCGAAGTGATCAAGGGATCAAGGCAACAGGATGTGGATTCCTGAGAGGATCCCTCGCTTGAAGGGAAGATCAGCAGAAAGACAGCCATAAAAGATCAACTGAAAGGGTAACTGGTAAAACGAAGATCTTCCAAGAGTTTGGGAATCGAAAGAATGAAGGGTTAAGACCTTTCTTGAAGGGAATACTCCTACGCTGCAGATCACTTGATGATCTAATGAAAAACAATAGAAAGAGGTAATTGCACAAGCAGGGGCATGGAATACCCTTCTCATGTACAGAAGAAATCATCATTAAATGATCTACTAAAAGGGTTCAGGGAATTGCGTAGATCGTTGGAGGATCTACTCGGGTAACAATTGAAGCAGGAATCCTCAAAATAAGGAAGGAAGGAGAAGGAGAAGGAATAGCAGATGAAGGCCGATCTTCGAAAGATCTCTGTATGATCTCCTTAGGAGATCACCAAGCGAGCCATAGAAGGGGGATCGTCTCGATAGAGCTCAAAGTAAAGCACTAAAAGAGGTATCCTAAACTAATCAAAATATCCACAAAACGATCCTCAAAGCTCTCAAAGATTCAAAAAGATGAATGGCAAACGCCTAAACGCCTAGAGGAGAGGTACTTCTTCAAGAGTATCGATTGAATGAACCTAAAAGATGAATGAATAAAGCACTAGAAGCAGCAAGAGAGCAGCGGAATCTACGGGTAGCATGTGAGTATAAGCCATATAGTTTTTGGTAAGAGATGTATCTCAAGGCGCGAGTGTTAGTCAGAAGCGAAAAAGAGCTGTATCTCGATAAAGAGTGTTAGGCAGAAGCATCATTCGCATCTCAGGAGGAAGCGCAGATCAGTGAGCAGCAAGGACGAACGCTCACAATGAACGAAAGGACATCAAGGACACAACACAAGGACAATGGAAACTTGAAACGTGAAACAGGCAACACGACACACAAACAACACAAACAGAGAGATAGAGATGGAGATAGAGAGAGAGAGAGAGAGCGAGACAGACAGGGACATGTCGTTGCATGCCACTGAAGGAGTTGTCGACTCACCTGAGTTGCCGACAGATGCGACTGCGACTGCTGGAGCTGTGGCTGGGGCTGGGGCTGTGGCGGCGATGATGGACGTCTCGGTTGTAGGTTGAGGCTTGGGCTCCACCTTAGGAACTTCAACGGGGGCAAGCGGCGGCGGCGGCTGCTGCTGCTGATCACGATGCTGAGGAGGAGGCGCCTTCACTGCTGGTCCGTGTGTCATCACAGTGGTGGCTGCCGTTTCATAAGCAGAACTATTGCCATTCGCCGAGGACTGCGGGTCCGTGGACAGGGCTCCGATCGAGGGTTTGTTCCGACGCCTGGTGGGAGAGGGCGAACTGTAGGAGGAGTCGCTGTGGTAGCCAGCGGCGGCGGTGGTTCCGATGGCGCCCGCGGAGGCGGAGGATAGCAGCGGCAACGGTGGCGGTGGCGATGAGTGATGGCCTCCAGTGGATCCCTGGCGACTGTGGGAGCGTGTGGTGCGCGTTATGAATCTGCAGAAGGGCGGAGGAGGGCGAGAGGGAGGCACATTAGTTCGTTCAGTGGCAAGAAACAAGAAGCGTTTGTATCCATTTCAGTTAATCAGAGGAAAAGAAAAAAAAATTAGTTACACGGAAGAGAGCGGCACACACGCGGCAGGCGGTAAATGTAAATATTCTGTATCTTTTCGTTAGCGCGAGATACTTTTGGTGGATCCGCTAGATGCGGCACACAGCAGACACGCTCAACAACTGCCGAGGGGCACTCCAGCAAACACAGTAGAAACCCAGCAGACACAGACAGATACAGATACGGATACAGATACAGAGATACACGACTTTGAGCGCTGCTTCGTTCGCTGTTGTTGGTGTTTTTCGTTTTGGGTATCTTTGAGATACAAAGAGACCAAACGGAAAGGTAAGCGTAAGCGTTAAGGCAAAGGCAAAGGTAAATTCCAGCAACAAAGTCACTCGCAAGCGAAACCCAGAAACACAGAAATCACTCAAAAACCGAAAACCGAAAACGAGACGAAGCGAAAAAAAGTATCTCGAAATTCGCACATCTGTTGGGCTGGTGGCACCGTGGCACCGTGGCGGCACCAGGTAGTCGCCGCCGTCGCATCTGTGAGAGTACTGTGGAGTATCTCTGTATCTGACAGATACTTTGCTTGTTGTATCTTTCTCAAAGAACAAAGCGTAACAAGTTTTTTATTGTTATAGATTGCACGCATGCGCAAAAGGCAGCAGATTCTACACTGCGCACAAAATATGTGCCATTTTCCATTAAAAAAGAAAAGTATCTGCAGGAAAAATGCATCGCTTGGTTGATTTTTCAGCTAAAAGATACTATTTTTGTGTAAAGAAAATATATTTAAATGCATTGCTTGTGTTTTCTAGCTAAAAGATACATTTTGAGGCCATGTAGCTCAAAGATACTCTATGGATAGTATCCTGGAAATAATGTATCTTCTACTATTCTCTTGTATATTCTATATTTTCTCCCAGTGTAGGCCTAATGTATCTTAAAGACACTTTTGCCATGTAAAAGATATCCATTCAGCAGAGCAGACTCTGGGCCGCCGCTCTGTCCGCTTCCTCATCTGGCATCGCATCTGACATTGCACTCTGCTTAGCGAGAGAGTGAAATATTTTGCAGCTTGTCTGTCGCTGGCGCGGCGACATTCAATCAAGCGCGCAATACACGGCCGACTCCGCCGTCTGTCCACCTATCCAGCCATCCATCCATCCATCCATCCATCTTTCCGTACGTTTAGCTGTCCGTTGTGTCTATCTATCTGTCCGTACGTATGTACATTCATCTGTCCATTCGTTCTGCTGTCCGTTTGTCAGGTAGACAGCAGCGGCAGCGGCAGCGGCAACATTTAAATGTCGCGACGCATCAATGTCACTTTTTGCTTTGTGTACTTTATGATGGCACGAGACGTAGACACAGGCGACAGTCACAGCCACAGTCACAGTGCGACAGACACAAAGATACAATATCTTTTTGGCATGCATATGCCCTTGTAGAGGTAGGGCATGATTATGGCCGAAGTAAATATAAGGAAATGCCTCCCGAAGGAGTGACAGATCCGATCCCGAAGGAAGTGGGTCAAGGGATTATCCGAAACGAAACCAAAAGGAGGCTGTCTGGAATTTCTGACATCACCTCTAGGCCAACAAAATCCCGGCCAATTAAAGACGTAGCCGTCTGGGAGCTTGTCGCGATAATTGGCACAAATGTTAGCCCGATCTAAGAGATCTTTTGCAATTAACTTTCAGGGTAGAGCATTTCTTGGGTATGCCCCGCGTCTTTAGTTCTGGGCGTTAATCATTTTGCTTGAGCGAAGCTTCCGAGATTCTCTTTCTTCTGGCACATGGAAATTTCCATAAATTTATATAAATTGAGAGGAACTACGCTGCAGCCGCTAAACGATGATGATGATGATGATGATGATCACCGAGAACTTTCCAACCCGTTGTCGCAAGGAAAAACTTGCACACAGAAAAAGGAAAAGTGATGATGCGACATGAGAGTCGCGGTCGCCGTTTAACCAGTTTTGTAGATACATTTTTATGGTGTTTTTTTTTTGGGTTTTGGGAGTCTGCGGGGCACACAGCTGCTGCTGCTGAAAGAAAGCGAAATCAGGACTAGAAACTAGATAGAAAGAGAGAGAGAGGGAGAGAGGGAGAGAGAGAGGGACAATCTGGGCCAGGAGGCAACAGACAGACGGGGCCCACCGACTGGCTGGCTGGCTGGCTGGCTGGCTGCCTCGTAAAATAAATGGCCATCGAGGAGGCAGCACTCTGCACAGCAGGTGATCATCGGATGACGGTGTTGACACCACACCACCATCGTCGAGCCAACGCTGTGGCACCATCGGTGGTGTATCGTTTGATAAATTCCAAGACTTAATTTGTGGCATATTCAAATTTGTCTCTTCGTTCGGTGAACAGAATTCTACATTGAATGCAGTTTTCTTTTTACTGCTGCTGCAGAGAGCAGAGGCTCTCCGTTTCTTCTACTTTTCATTTCTTTTATGTATTTTTGTCGCTTTTATGAAGCATTTTTGTAGCGAAAGCCTGAAAGTATCCATTGGGCTGTGGTGGGGGGGATGGGAGGGGGAAAAACTTGTCGCTTCTCTGTCTCTGGTCTGTGGATCGATGGTCTCCCGTTTCGGTTTTCGGTTTTCGGTTTTCATTTTTCGGCTGTAAAACAGGTGCTTTCTACGACTTGCAGCTGGAGTCGGAGTTGGGGGGTCGCTTGGGTTCGTCTTTGGGGTCTGGGGGTCACAGCAGAGACACAACTTTTGATATATCACATTATAATTGATGGAACAGTCGACTGGCCGCCGCGAATTGCACTTCCACGCATTGATGCGATTGTTTTGTCGCAGAGAGAGGGAAGATGTCACCCCGGGGTCGAGTCTCAGTCCGATACGATCCCTCAGCAATCCCATCCCCGAAAACAATGAACCAACGACGACGTAACATACAGGCATTAAAGCCAGAGACAGAGCCCGAGCCCGAGTCAGAGCCCGAGTCAGAGTCAGAGCCAAAGGCAAAGGCAAAGCCAAAGCCAAAGCCAAAGAGTGAAAAAAGGTGAAACAATACATGGATTTTGTTTGTTAACAAGCTCTCCCCATTCGACCCATTCGAACCATTCGCCCCACTCGCTCCATTCCCGGTTTCGATTTGTTTAGGGGCCTGGCTTAAAGAGAGACGCCGCCGAAGTAGCGATTCGCTGCTGTCGATTGTATAACCCCCGAAGCCACTGAAGATATCATATGAAAACTCCTCTTACACGAAAAAGGTGGCCAACAAATGAATGCAATTTGTTTTTGATTGTAAGCCAAGGATTATGTAGGGCCGAAAAAGCGTCAACAGAGATTATTAACCAGATTATTTTCCGGGCGAAGAGAGTATAAGAGTGGGAGAATATCATATAGTATATAGCTCCAATCATTGGTACTACAGACACACTCTAATTAGCAATGAATGCCACACCTGAAAACCTGGTTGAACGTTTTTGTCGAGCCACACGGGCCTGCTAAGACCCCGGGGAAAAGAGAGACAGAGCGAATGGCGGCCGTAAGTCCCGAGTCAGGAGGGGTCCCGAGTCCCCATTCTGGCTATAATAATTATCCAATCTTAATGAGTTTTGGAGATCTCGAAGATGGAATCATTAGCTAGGGTTTCGGTTCCCTTGCGTGCCGTTTACAAAACCACAATACTAGATACATTTGGGGACAGGTATGGGATACTCTATGGGGGATGTTGGGCTGGCTGCTTACCTTCGTGCATTGGTGGCCTGGTGCTGGTGTTGAGGAGACAACTGATGCTGATGCTTGGGGGTCACTGGCGGTTCTACTGATGGCAATGATTGGTGATGGACGTTCGACTGGTGATCGTGATCTGGATGGAGTGGATGATCGAGCTCGTGGTGATGGCCATTGGCCGTGGCCGTGGCTGTGGCTGTGGCTGAGGCTGAGGCTGTGGCTGCGGCACCATTCACCAGCTGAATCTTGTCGCTGGCAGACGTCAGCTCCTTCTGCCAGCGTGCGAGGGTATCAAAGACCTCGCCCTGGTCGAATTGCTTCCCCTCGGACGCGTCGCCATCCTCACGTCCATCTCCCTGATTGATCAAGCGACGCTTGAAGTCCTTCACTGCCTGCACTGGGACCTTTGGGGGCGCCACGAACAGGCGGTCAGTGCTGACGGGTCTGCCCGCATCGTAGTTCCTGACATCCGCCGATGGGGGTGGTGCTGTCGTCTTGGCCGAGGGCTCCAGGCTCTTGGCCGAACGATGGTAGTGATGCGGCGGTGCCACGCATCGGGCGGTGTGTGGCTGTGGCGGCGCCTCCATCCCCTGAGGCGGCAGCGAGGCGGCCTTGGCGGCGACGGCGGCGGCGGCAGGGTCGGCTACCAGATTCGTGAACTTGTGACTAGAGTGCAGGGCATGGAACGAGTCCGCGCTGCTGCTGCTGTCCGGCTGCATGCCGCCGCCACGCCTGGGCATGAGACTAGTGCCAGGGGCAGGGGCGGCGCCGCCCGGAGGCAGCTCCTTCTGCATTGGTGCTGGGGGAGTATGGACGCGATGATGCAGAGGCCAAAAGGTCGCCAGCTTGTCGGTTGTTGGGTCCCGGTCCTCCTGTGGCTCCTTCTTCACCTTCACCTTCTCTTTCTCCTTTTCCTTCTCCTTCTCCTTCTCGTTGCTGCTGCTGTGGCCGCTGCTGCTGCTGCTGCTGCTGCTGGTGGTGCTGTCCCCTTCGTCCTGATTCTTCTCCTTGCATATTATATCGTATAGGGCGCTAATGGGACGGGACTCGCTGCGCACGCGCACCGCCCGCTTCGAACGCTGATGGAACCGCTGCTTGTGGCGACTGTTGCGGCCTCCACTTGCGGCATTCACTACGGCTGGGGCAGGACCAGGAGCGGGGCTACCGGGACTACCGGGACTACCAGGACTACCACGACTAGCTGTCTCTACGGGAGGATGGCTATTGGCGGCGGTACTACAACTATTTCTATTGGTGGTGCGTGTGGGCTTGCTGATGATTGATGGGGACTGACTCGAGGTCAAGGGTGGATGGCTGCTCGTTTCTTCACCTTTTGTAGGGCTCACAGATCCTGCAGAGAATTTGAAGTAGCGACTGCCCTCGCTGCCCGGCCGCTGACGGCGTCTTGTGGCGTCTTGTGTCGATGCAGCGTCGCCACGAAAAAACGTGGCACGTGTGGCCGTTGCCGTTGCCGTTGCTGTTGCGCTCTTGGGGAAGGATCTACGCTGCTCCACCAGCTGGGTGTTGCAGCTGGGCGTGGCATACACACTCTGATAGTTCTCGTTCAAGGCACCCACATCCGTGGCCTGTGGCGTGTGGATCTTGAGCTGCAGATCCGTGTAGTATGCGGGCGTTGTGTGATGATGAAAGTGCGGGTGCTGTCCCCGGTATCCACCCGACTTGGAGGCGCCACTGGAGTCCTCAGAGGTTCTTCCTTTGGTCGCCGCAGTTGGCGAAGTCTGCGACTCTTCTTGTGGCCTGTGGCAGCTAGTTTTGGCAGTGGCTGAGGCTGTGGATAAGTCACTTGAGGCCGCAATGGTTTCTGCAAGTGAAAAACGAAACAAAATCAAAATTAAAACTATGAACAAACTGCAAGTAAATGAAAATTAATGCGAGGTTTCCCCTTCCCCTCCCTTCCCTTCCCCTCTGTTCCACACATGAAGAGATGGGAACGTGCTTCTTTGCTTTTCTAATTCACTTTTTTGCTTCTTCGTTGCTGCATGAAAAAGAAAAAATCTTGGCAGCAATTAAATCTTGCACCTGTGCACCCGTTTCGTACACCTATCCCCCCACCGAACCCCCACCCCCACCCCGTATGTACACCACGCCCCCGACAAGCCACCCACTCAATGATGTCAAGGTGAGGTGAGGGTTGCCCGCTTTTTATAGCCATCCTACGAGTACCCGTACAAGCGACGACGAAGCGAAGCATCTGCTGTGGCAATGAGTGCTTGACTTTTCTCTTAGTTTTTCCCTTCTTCCATACACTTTTGGCGCTGACTGTAAAGCAAATGCAAATCTCATTTGACAGTGCCACCAAGGCACCATCGCAGCGATTAGTTATGCTCTCTAGGGAAAGAGCAGAGCAGAAAGAGCCCCACCAGCCCCACCATCTCCACCCCCGAGAAACCCAATTAATCATACCAGAACGAGTCCCAAAAGCAGATTTTCACAGCATTTTCCACTGCATTTTCTTGCATTTTCAGTTCTCTCACAGACAGATACCCTTTCCAATCATTTAGGATATATTATTGATCTCGAGTTTACATTTCTACTACTTTGATATTGGTTCCGGGTCTCTGATATTGATACTGATTGAGAATATATCATAAAATGCAGATCGATCTTGGATCAGAATCAATAGCAGATTGATATAACGATAAAGGCAATATATTAATAAAGTTTTTGACTTTTTAAGCCTATCTTTTAGATATTTATGCCATAAGGCACGATATTCTCATAAAGAACTCCCGTAACTTCTAAGGATAATCCAACAGAAAATCATACATTTCATTATAATACACTTCCAAACAAATCAGCAAAAGTTGATCCAAATCGGAACACTTTACCATATACCCACCCATATGTTCTATGAGAGCCATACATGGATCAGACATACGATCGTTAGACCTCTCATAAATGTATGTATCTCTGAGTGCCTCGAAGATCTTTTGATACGGAAAGCTCTACCCTTTCTTCGTATCGTTTCATTTTGTTTTCTGGTTACAAAAATGCCCAAAAGTAATTCCGAAATATAATCATAAACAATTTTTGTTTTTGACAGGCTGCTGCGCAACAATTTCATATGCCAAAAGACGAAATGGAATTTCATGAAAATACGTGAATTTCTATCCATTTTTTCTATATTTTGTTGTTGTATTGCTGTTGGCCAAATGTTCAACAAATGTGCAAAATCGAAATGAATTTATTGTATCTAATTTATGATGACAGACGGCGGTAAAGAAAAAATAAATCTGTAAATGCAATTAACAGATAAATAAGAGAAGAGGGAAGAGAGAAGAGGAAGCGGGAAGAGAGAACAAGATCTCTCTCTACCTATCTTTCTCCATCTCTAGGATACACATCCAATATTTGTCCAGCAATTACGAATGACCAGTGAAATATCAAATATTTAGACAGTTAGCACATCATCGAGAACGGCAAATAGTAGTTCCATTCCAGAGTGCAGCTGCCAAGTTCGATATCTTATCATATATAATATACGAGGAGGAGTATGTGTATCCGATGGATTGAAGAGCAAACACAAACACAAACAAAGCAAAAGTCAATTTGTGGATCAGCAAAAACCTATGGAAAAGTAATGCAATTAACGAGGGGTGCTGGAAACGTTGATGCGGTTTTCAGTGGACAAAAAAAAACAAACAAAAACATTAAAGGCTTAGTGGTAAAAACTCGCCACATCGAAGACTGAAGACCAAAACAAAACCTTGCAACATCTTCCAAAAAAGTGCAGACAAAAGCATTTTTTATTCAATTAGAGAAGCAAAAAGCGAAACCAGGGGAGGGGTTCGAGTCGAGCAGGGCCGTGGGGGCTGTGGGGGCTGTGGGGGCGAGCGAGTATTTGTCATTGTTTTAATTTTATAAACAGCCAACACGCACACTCTGCTCCTCCCCCCTCTCTATACAGAATATCTCCCCCCACTAATTCCAATCATCAGTTAAAGGGCTTGTCTCTGGCTCTGCGTCTGCGTCTGCCTTCGGGGTCATACCATCATCAACCCACGGGTTTTCGAAAGAACCGACTGATAGACAGACTTTAAAGCAATTAAAATTCAACAAAAAAAGATCAAGCGCCAGCGGAGCCCCTTAACATATTTGTTCTTTGGGGTTCTTTTCTGTTATTTTCTGTTACGGGGAGTTTCTCTTAATTGATTGAATGGGTTGCTGTTTTCGGTTCTCTAATGGTTCTCAAATGATTCGAAATTGGAAATTGCTGTTCAATGGAATTGCATGAGGAGAGAGAATTCACCGAGAATGTCCACGACAAAATAATTGGCCAAAATTCAATAGAAATTCGGCGCAAAACAGAAACAGAAACAGAACCTGCTCTGCCCTGAGGCATAAATTGTATAAATAATTCATTCAATCAGAGACGCAAAATGTCTCACAAAGATGCAAATAAATTCATTCTAAACAAAATAGTTGGTGAATTGATTTGGGAAAATTGCACGAGCTGTTTGAGGGGGGGAGGGACGGAGGGGGGGAAACTTCCCGTTTCGTTGAACTCAAAACAAAATGAATTTTCGTCAAAACAAAAACACTTTTCAGCCGGAAAAAACACACGCATGAAAATAATTGAAAACAAATAAAGGTTCTTTTGTTTTCCGTTGTGGGGGGGTGGGGGACGGTGGGTGGGGTACCTGGAAAAGTGCATTTCATGATGAAAACTCTTTACCAAGAAAAATGAACCAAAGAACAGAAAATGCGGAAAATTCACGCAAATTCTGGCAGTCGGAAAATGCATTTCGTGTAATATTTTGTTCATAAACTGAAATGGAAAATAATCTGGCCGGGCAGCAGCGTGGGAGCCGTATCTGTATCTGCATATGCACGAGTATCTACGTATCTATGTATCTACGTATTAGATGGCACAAATCCAAACTAAATAAACCGCCGAAACTGCTGGCAATTTGCCTTACGACAAAATAAAAACCGATTTGTAAGAAGATTTTTTGCCAAAAGATTTCCTTTTCTTAGCAGGGAAATGGGGCGGGCGGGGGGTGCAAATGGTATGTGGGGGGCGGGGACGGGGGCAGGAGCTCTAACTACATAATTATTGAGTGCAAGGGGGTGGTGCGGGGGGGGCAGGAGTTGTAACTAAAGTGCAGCAATAACAATTGCAACTGCAACACAGAAACTACGGCATTTCTGCGGCTTCGCTTCGCTTGCCGCCGCTGAAGCCGCTTCTGTTTGTCTGTTTCTCTGTGCCACAACAGCCCCAGCCCCAGCCCGAGCCCCAGCCACGGACCAGAGGCGGCTGATTGATCGATTGGTCTCTGGCTCTGGCTGTGGCCGCAGTCCCCACAGGTTGCATAATTAATAAGACACACAAGAGAGCGGGACGGCTCGCCTTACCCTCCCCTCCTCCAGGGCAAGGCTTAAACTTGCTGCCTGAAATATCATATTGTTAAGGCGAAAACACGAGACGAGACGCGACGCGGAAAAGCCAATGAGTGGCTGCAGCAACAGAAAAACAAGGAAGGCAACCAAAACCAAACCCAGGCTTAAGCTCTGAGGATACCCTCTCATTGTAGGATATATGATTTCTCGATCTGAGGTGCATTTGAGAGGCTACAAAGAAGGACTTCCCTTACAGATATCCCAAGGAATTCCATACTATTTTGTGGGCTTTTCTCGTATAGGTTTTCCCTTCCGATGGCAGTACGTCTTCCCACCATATAGATCGAAACTGAAGCCCAAAAGAGAGCCCCATGGTACTGAGGTCCCAAGCTAAAGGAGATCCTATCGTCTGTCCTTCCCTCAGAGAATACACCTAATCTCAGTCGTACAGCCCACACTTTCTGAGACGAGATAAACACGCTCTTCTCTGCCTTCCAATCGCCTGGCATTATGGCCCCTTCAACCTGTATCAACCTCTTCAAGGGTATACTCGTACTCGCGTAAAAAACTGCCAGAAGTTAAATCAATATTGGGGGAAAAACACACTGCATTTTACAAAAGTGCCTGCCGTTTCGTTGTTTACAGCTTGCAACAGCCACAGAAGTGGCAGGGAGGGGGGGAGCAGCAGCGGCAGCACCACCAGATGGGGAGGAGTAGGTGGACGAGGTAGGCAGCAATGTGGCAACGTCGTTCTGTAAGTATTATTTTTAAATGCAAGGGCACGCTGCCTACGCCACGTCTCATGGCAGACGCGAAACCGTGTGGCACACAGTCTGATCGTTGTTTTTTTTTTTTTTTTTTTTTTTTTCGTTTTTTTCGCTATTTGGGGAGCAACATTTACTTGATTTTCGTTAAGTTCACTTTTTCTGCGTTTCACATGCAATAAACACGCACTTAATTATCGTCTGGCAGCGGAAAAGCCGCTTATCGACGACATTCATCCATAAAATGGCAAAAACTCTTCAACGAGAGAGAGAGGGGGAGTGGGGGAGGGAGGGAGAGAAATTCTTGTGCAATTTCCACAAACAGAAGCATCAAAAATTGTGTAATTTCGGGAAACCAAGTCTGGGTGGCTGTTGATGATGGCTGCCTGGCAGCCTGGCTGGACGCTTGATGGTTGATGGATGTGTGTGTGTGTGTGTGTGTGTGTGTGTGTGGGGGGGGATGTGTGTATGTGTGTGTGGTGTGATTACTGCAGCAGCAGAGAGGCTAAGGAAATTGGGTCAAGTGGAGTTCATCCGATGCCTGATGCCTGATGCCGCTGCCGGTTCTCTAGAGCGTTGTGTGGGCTTTGCTAGACTGCTGCTAGGCGAAGGAAATGCGGAAAATGCGCTTGAAACTCAAGCAGGAGGCTAACAAACTAAGAGGATAATAATCGCTCTTCTGATACAATACGAATCT